CGTTCTTGGGGATGGTGCTTGTGCTGGGGATGCAGCAGTGACCGAATAGACTATGCCTCCTACAGTCCCCAGTGACTCTATTCCACTGGGTCTTACAGACCATTCTCTGAGATTTAAGATCCGTTTTTTCCCTTTCAGAGGAATCCATCCATTACCCAACCTTGAAAAACACTGCTCCATGACAGGATTCTTAGAAATTCAGAGGAAGAGGGGTGCCTGGGTGGTTTAGTCAGTTAAGCGTCCTACTGTTGATTTTGGCTCAGGTCTTGATCTCATGGTTCATGGGAAGGAGTCCTGCATCAGGCTCTGTACTGTCAGCACAGATTCTAGGATTCTCTCTCTCCCACTCTTCTCTCTGCCCCTCTCCTGCCCTCAAAAAAAAAAAAAAAAAATTGAAAAGCACTTGATTTTAATTAAAGGGAAACTATGAAACCAGTCGCATGGATCTAAAAATACTTGGGACACCTGGGTGGCTCAGTCGGTTAAGCCTCTAACTTCAGCTCAGGTCATGATTTCACAGTTTGTGGGTTCAAGCACTAGGTTGGGTTCTGTACTGACTCAGAGCAGTACAGGCTCAGAGCCTGGAGCCTGCTTCAGATTCTCTCTCTCTCTCTTTCTCTCTCTCTCTTTCTGTCTCTCTCTGCCCCTCCCCTGCTTGTTCTCTCTCTCTCCTCAAAAACAAATAAACATTAAAAAAATTAATAAATAAAAATACTTTGTTAACGTACAGGTTCATAAATTGGCCTCTCTGAGCTATAAGACAACTGAAAAATAGAGTAGTTATGACCTCATCTCAAATAAGATGAGATTTGACTAAGTCATATTTTTAAATCATAAAATTACAGATCTTCATTGTTGTTTTTCTGACATTCAACATAGATAAAAGTTCTCTTGTTTTCAAATTGTTTTAATACAGAGGATGTCTTTACTTATCTAATATGTAGTCCCTTCACTCTGAGTGTATAGGTTTGAGACAGTAGTTTAGATGCAGAAAACGTTGCAAGTGTTGGCAGTGTCACTCCCAAAAAGTATGTATTATTACCCGCAACTAACTAATATAAATTAGCTTATAGTGGACTCACTAGATTTCTTTCCTTTTCCTTTTCTGCCTAGAATAGATCCTTTATTTCACACCCTATAAATGATCATTGTAATTTTTGTTCTCTGAGAGAGGAGTTTGTTTAAATCCCTCTACAGTGATTCATTAAAGAGCCTCTGGCTTATTTCTAAACATAAATACAGTGCAAAGTTGTTTATCTTGGGCAGAGGGCTGAGGTTTTGAAGCTCCCAGATACTATCTGTTGGGAAGAAAACATGGGGTTGTTAAAGTTATCTGGGAGGCTTGCGTACTTTTTCAGAAGTGATTGTTGAGTAGTTATTGTGCTCAGGGGAAAGGGGAAAGAAAAAAGGTTTAGGGAACAATCCCAGGTTTAATCTCTGTGGCAGGGCCAACCCTGTGGTCCATTGGCCTGTCCCTAGCTACTCTCTTTTGGGCAAAAGAATCAGGGGATCAGCTTTATGGTTCCTTAGAGCCCAAACTCTCCACCCAGGAGTGCACCACGAGGCGGGGCAATGCCTATCAGAATACCGTGGAGTTGGGGGCGAATGACGGAGTGTGGAATAGGCTGCCTCCTTGTCTAGCATGATTGCCTCGTCTCTTTGTATCCTGACGGAATTCACAGGGGATAGAGTGCAGGTGAAAGCAGTCTTCACACTTCAAGGTTTGAAAACATCATAGCATCTTGAATTTGGGAGCTGTGTTCTGGTAGCCGACCTTTTCCCATTGTATTACATTGAGAGTTGAGGCTCCACTGGGAAGGCCTTTGAAAAGGGTCCTGGGGTGCCTGGGTGGCTTAGTCAGTTAAGTGGCCAACTCTTGATTTCTGCCCAGGTCACGATCTCACGGTCTGTGAGTTCAAGCCTTGCATCAGGCTCTGTGCTCATAGTGTGGAGCCTGCTTTGGATCCTCTGTCTCCCTCTGTCTGCTCCTCCCCCCACTCGCTCTCTTGCTTGCTCTCTCTCTCTCTCTCTCAAAAAAATAAATGTTTAAAAAAATTTTTTTAAAGAAAACGGTGCTGCACAGCAGCTACTGCTGCCTGTTTTCCTGGTGCTCTGCACCTCCCCAGGCCTCTGTCTGCGTTGCCCCGTCTGGTGCTCACTTCAGCCCCAGGGCCTGTGCCCGTCCTGGGAGCGCCCGTTCCTCACGGAGCCGGGGAGCCGAGTGCCACTTCCCTCCTGCATACCCTGTGGGCTAACGTGATTGTCCGTGGAGCCTTTCTCCACTGGATGTCTGCTCACGTCCTTGCCGACACTGCACGGAAGGGAGAGAGCGGTAGTCCTTTGGGAAAGATAGGAGCTTCGAGTCTTTCTAGTTCCTCCACTGCATGCTACAGCCAGGTTCTCACTCACCACAGCCAAAGGGAAAGCAGCTAGCCACAGTGAGGGGGAGCTTTCCTTTGGAAGACCTCCCATTGTAATGCACTTGGAGAATGTATTGTCTTCCTATCAAGAAGCCTCACTTCTTTCAAATTAATATTCCCACGTGCCAGCTTGATTATACTTTAGCTCATTCAGACCTTGTCCCAACTCTCCTGTCATTTCAAGAGTCCCCACATTAGCAGATGATCCTCCTAGGTCATCTGGGGAAATGGCTGCCTCCTCTCTATCCCCCGTTTTTTTCTCCCAATAACAGGGCAGGGGGTTCAGATGATCCAGACACAGAAGTGTTGTATATGTAGAGCCAGCAGGAAGTGTGACATTTAACAAGAGTTAGATGATACCTGGTGGGAAGTTAAAAGTCACAAAATGTTTTGTCACAAGAAATTCTTCCAGTTATCAGAAACTGAACGCTGTTTTAGGGTTCTCCCACCCCAAGGTCAAGATGATTATGAAAACATTTGAGATGGGGTATAGATCTATAGTATAATAAAATGTTAACAAATGGCTCGATGCTTTCTTGGAGCCCCTGACACCGTTGCTCATCTTACTGAAACTTTTCTCCTTTGGCCTCCATTGCCCTAAACTTTTCTGATTCCCCTCTTTTACTAAATGCTCTTCCTTAGCTGTTCTTAACTCCTCTTGCTCTTTCTCATCCTTAAATATAGATATGTCCCCAGTTCTTCTTTCCAAAGAGTTTTCGCTTTGTATCTTTAGTTTTCGTACCTGCTGTCATGGCTTCAAGTATTTGCTATAAGAGAACTACCCCATAACCACCCACCTCTTTATATCTGATTACTCTCCTAAAGGCAGACTTCCTTTTTTTTTTTTTTTTTTTTTTTGCCTGTGGGCCATTTTACGAGCACCTTATGCTAGCACATCCCAAAGGGGAACTTTTGATTTCCTGCCCAGAAGCTTCACCTGACCCCAACATCCATCCAGGCTTCCGGGAATGGAATTTCAAACTCACCTTCAAACCCTTTCTCTCCCTCATCTTCCAGCGTTGGATGAGTTGATAAGTTGGTTTTATATGATTTTCCAGTTCTCTCATGTTTGGTATTCTTGTTCTGTTTCTACTGTCCCCACCCAGTTCAGGTCACCATTGTATTCTGCAGTAGCCCTTTCTTTCCTTTTTAATTTTTAAAAAATGTTCATTTATTTATTTATTTATTTATTTTAAATGTTTTATTTATTTCTAGGAGAGAGAGAGAGAGAGAGCGTGAGCAGGGGAGGGTCAGAGAGAGAGGGAGTCACAGACTGAAACAGGCTCCAGGCTCTGAGCTGGCAGTCAGCACAGAGCCCGACGCGGGGCTCGAACCCACGAACCGCGAGATCATGACCCAAGCGAAAGTCGGACGCTTAACCGACTAAGCCACCCAGGCGCCCCAAAATGTTCATTTATTTTTAAAAGAGAGACAGACAGAGTGTGAGAAGGGGAGGGACAGAGAGAGAAACAGACACAGAATCTTAAGCAGGCTCAAGGCTCAGAGCTGTCAGCACAGAGCCTGAAGGGGGGCTTGAACTCAGCAACTACAAGATCATGACTTGAGCTGAAGTTGGACGGTTAACTGCTCAAGTGACTGAGCCACCCAGACGCCCCTGCAGTAGCCCTTTAAATGGTTTCTTTCTATTCTTTTCCTACTTTCACCTTTACTACATACTGTTCTGAGAGAAATCTGCGTCCAGTCCCTATCACCTCCTTTCTTGAACATCCTCTCTCTTCTCACTGCCTACCAGATAAAGTTTAAATTCTCTAACGTGCCCATCCACTGGCTGTAATGTATGTTTCCAGCCTTCTTTCTCATCACTTGCCATGCTTTATCCAGGCCATGTCCTGTGCCCTAAACATGCTCCCTCCTTCCTGCCTCTGCACAACATTTTAAAAATTATTATCAAAATGGTAACAAATGCCTAGAACATTTTAGTCGTTTGCTTTGTTGAAAACAAAACCAGACTGTTTTGAACAATTTTCACTTCATCTCTGTAACTACTGAATTCCTACTGTGAATGAGGTCTTTTCAAGGAAATTCCAGACTATTCCTCTTTCAAGGAGCATAACGCCATAGGACAAGGAGAAGTTTTGAAACAAAAACTCAAAGAACAGCGTAAGTTAAGTGCCAGAAGAGAGGTAATGCTGCGACTCAAAGGAAAAAAGAGCATTTAGCTGAGAGAATCTAGAAAAACTCTATGGAGCTGTTTGAGATGGGCACTGAGGTGTGAATTGGTTTCGGTGGGTGAAACTTGGGGTCAGGAAAGACCCTTGCTTTCACTACTTTCCCTCATTCCTTCTTTCTTCCTCCTCCTCCCTGTCCCAGTTCCCCTCCTCCCTCCCCCTCCTCCCTCCCCTCCCTCCCCTCTCTCCCCTCCTCAGATTCCTTCTCCCATTAATACTGATGTTCGAGGAACCCAGGCAGAGGTATAGTAAAGATTCATCCCGGTGGTAGTCAACTTGACGATTCAGTCTTTAAAAATACTAAAGACTAAAAGTGGGAACTGCCTAGAAGTCACTAAAGTTTTACTGACTCGCACTTTCCATCAGTGATTTTTGTTTTCCCTTCTGGCAGCCTTCACGTCCGGCGCAGGAGGCTCTGCGTCAGCCCGCACAGTCACGTCATTAAGCAGTGGATGAAAGAACAAGCGGCCAAGAAGAGCGCTAAAGGCAACCTCTGCCACAGGAAGAGCCAGGCCGGCAAGGGCAACAGTAAAGGGGCGCGTCACGGGAAACCCGAAACCCGTGGCCATCAGACTCCTTATTAAAGCGTTTACAAGTGAATCCACGTGGACAATTCCTGAAGTGAACTTGGCCATCGGTTGCTTATAAATGTATCACGTGAATGTTCCTTATTGGGAGACAACAGGGCAGAACAAAATATGTTTTTTAAAGGAGCAATTATACAGGATACAAATGTAGCCAATAATATACTCATCTGAAAATGAAATGAAAAGATAACACTTACCTTCACATAATGTTTTAAGAGCAGCATACAGATAGAATTTCTCCAACATTTTTATTGGAAAGGTTTGCAAACCTACAGAAAAGTTGAAAGATTAGCACAATAAACACTCGTATACTTTTCGCCTAGATTAATAATCGTTAATACGTTGCCACATTTGTTTTTTTTTCCTCTCTTTGTGTGTATAAAACGTTTTATATATAAATATGTAATTGTTTTGCTAAACCATTTGAAAACAACTTGCAAACATCATGATACTTCTAATTTTTTTTTAGTGTTACAACTTGACATCCCTTAATAAAGACATTTTGTATATAATCACGTTATCAGGTTTATGCTTAAAAAAATTAACAAGTGCACCTCATATATATGTATTCCACCTCTGAATTTCCCCCATTTCCAGAGCATAAATTAAAAAAATTTTTTTTAATGTTTATTAATTTTTGAGAGATAGAGTGCAAGAGGGGGAGGGGCAGAAAGAGAGGAGACACAGTCTGAAGGAGGCTCCAGGCTCTGAGCTGTCAGCACAGAGCCCGACGCGGGGCCCAAACCCACAGACTGAGAGATCATGACTTGAGCCAAAATCCGACGCTCAATCGACTGAGCCACCCAGGGGCCTCTCAGAGCATAAATTTTGTATAGGTTTCTTAATCAAGCTCACATATTGCAATTAATGTTTACACTTCTTTAGTATATTTTACTAGAAGAAAATCTCTACCTTTTTTTCCTTTGGCACAAACTTGTTAAAAGAGTCTTCCCATGGCACAGACTTGTTAAAAGAGTCTAGTGCAGAATCTGTTCCACATTCGGGGTTAGGCTGTTTCCTCACAACCACATTCAGGTTCAACATTTTCAGTAGGAAAAAATGCTTTCTATGTGAATTTGTATATTTCTTATTGCATTATTTAGAGTGTATAAACATTGGAGTTCATTTTCTACATAGAAAAGTTTTAGCTGAGTATCACTTTAATATCACATCTAGTTTGAGTAACGGCTGTTGTTTGGATTGATAAATTCTGATGCTGGAAAAAAAAGCCTGCTTTGCTCAGGAAGCCATCATCCTCCCACGGTGAGTTCTTGGATCACTAGGGAGGGGTCCCGAGTTGGAACCCATGTGGGATGACTTTACACTCTCCTCAATAAGGAGCCTATACCTTTTAACTCCTGGCCCACGTCTCCCACACCTTGTGGGTGGGTCCCACTGTATCGCTCATCTTTTGGCCTCCTTGCCGTCCACAAAGACTTCCAGATGCAGAGTAAGACCTAGTTTTAATAAATAGCCATCAGATGGCAGGAACACAGTGTCCGTTTCGCCAGGCGTCAGTTGTCCTGTGCCTCCCCGCAGGCCAGTTCCAAGCAGTGGTGTTGCCAGGCTGACTTGGAGGTGATAATGGGTCACACGGAAGCGCTGGGCCTGATGCAGGTTAAAATATCAAATGGCCGCCGACTAATTCCCCTCATGGACAGTAATATAGCAAGTGATTTATTTATTCTCACCAGCAATTCTGTGAGCTTTGTATTGATATTTCTACTTTATGGACGGGGAAATTTGGAACTCATAGAGGTAAAATGACTTGCCCGAGTTCATGCGGGAAGTGGCAGAGACAAGCTTTGTGCCCAGGTCTCCAGACCCTCCTCAATTCTATCAGCCCCAGCAGTGGACCCTGAAAGGTGTGGACAAAGAGGTGGGGCAGAGGGAGAGGAATTTGGATAAAGATCTGTGCATCTGGCGCCTCATGAAGGGCTAGGAGATGCCAGATGACAATTTTACTTGGAAGTCTAGTATTAAAACATGCTGCTTACTGGCGTTGCTGGTGCCGATACTAACATCAGCCACCTTGGTAGATTCAAACAGGCCCCAGCCTGATTTTACCGAGTTTCCAGTTTCACACTCTTAGACAGAGTGGAGGAGATATTTGTAGCCTTTGTTTTGCCAAATCTCCCTCACCACGTTTCTCTTTTCAACTTTAAGATGGATTTTGTCAAAAAATACAGTATTCTTCCACTCAAATCCATCATGCTTTTTTTAAAAAGTTTTTTTCAACATTATTTATTATTTATTTATTTTTTGAGTGACAAAGAGTGAGCAGGGGAGGGGCAGAGAGAGAGGGAGACCTAGAATCCAAATCAGGCTGCAGGTCCTGAGCTGTCAGCACAGAGCCTGATGCGGGGCTTGAACTCACAAACCGTGAGACCATGACCTGAGCCAAAGCTGGACGCTTAACCGACTCAGCCACCCAGGTGGCCCCCATCCTGCTTTTTAATATGATAATATGATCCTGAGGAAAATGGTTCCTAAATGTCTTATCCTGTTTGGTCTTCTATAAGAAAATCCCAGAGACTGTTATACACAACAAATATTTATTTCTCAGCCTCTCTGGAGGCTGGGAATTCCTGGATCATGGCATTGGCAGATTTGGTATCTGGTGAAATCCCTCTTCTGGGCTGTGGACTGCTGACTTCTCCCTGTGTCCTTACAAGGAGAAAGGGACCAGGGGGCTCTCTGGAACTTCTTTTATCAGGCACGAATCCCATTCTAAAGTACCACCCCACCACACACACACACGACTCTCCTGCCCTGGTATACACATGTCTTCTCCCAAACACTCATGTAGGTGTAGCGCTAATGTATTTTTGCAGATGTAATGAAGGTCACAAATCAGTTGATCTTAAGATAGGGAGAGAGATTATCTGCGTGGGTGTGACTTCATCACAAGAGCTCTTTAAGTCTGAGCCTAGAGGTCAGAGACAGGGTAGTCAGAGAGACTCAAAACAGAAGGATTCAACATGCTACTGCTGGCTTTGAAGATGGAGGGGGCCAAGTGAAGGGGTCCAGGACAGCTCCCCATACCCCCGCCCCCCCGCCAAAGTGATACTTTGACATGTGGATTATTTTGACCTAGAGGCACTTGAGATCTTGCGGCCTCAAAAGAAATTTTTGCCCCTCCCTTAACTACATAGAAGAATCTAAATTGGGGGTCTTTTCCAGAATAAGTGTTATTAACAGAGATAAATTTTATCTGAGTGACCTACCTGTATGGTAGGGAAATATCTAATTCCCGAACATTTGCTCTTCTTAGTACCCTGTGAAGTACATTCCCTTCTTCTGAAATCCCAGACCCCTCGCCCCTTCTCCTCAGTTCAGAATGACATATGTACCTCATTTTGCCCGACTGTCTTTGGAATTTCCATGTCTATGTGGATTTCCCTTATGTATACTTACTAAATTTGATTTTCTCCTGCTAATCTGTTTCATGTCAATTCGATTCTTAGTCCAGCTAGAAGGACCTTTGAGGGAACAGGAATTCTTGCTGCCTGACACAAGTCAGCTGAGAGCAGCCTTTAGCCGACAGCAAGGAAACAAGGACCTCAGTCCTACCACCAACAGGAACTGACTTTAGCCAGGAACAGGAATGAGCTTGGAGCAAATTCTTTCATGGAGCCTTCAGAGGGCATGTAGCCCAGCCAATAGCTTGATTTTGGCTTTCTGAGACCCTGCACAGAGAACCCAGTCATGCCATGTCTGGACTTCTGACTTATAGACTGTGAGCTAATAAATGGGTGCCATTTAAAGTGGCTAAGTATGTGGTACATTATTATGCAGCAACAGAAAATTAACACAGTCAATAAATGGCACTTGAACCATCCTAACTATGTAAGTTTTGTTTCCTGCTGAGCCGAGTAGTGTGTTCGTTTAATACCCTTCTCTAACAGTGAATTGTATGTGATTCACTATTCAGGTAATTGGAATCTGATGGAGTATTTCTATATTATTCATGTGGTGTAGATATTTTACTTCCTTCTCAGGTATGGCCAGGCACCCAGATTATTTACATCTGCTTCTTGTTTTTGTCAGTCACTTACTTGAGGTATCAGGGTTCCTTCTACTAATTGCAGAGAAATCTGCATTTGTGCATTTAGAAGCTGTTCAAAATTCTAAGATTTTCAAGTAATAGTGTTCTTATCTCTTTTGCTGGAGAGAGCTGTGCTCTTCAATAATGCAAAATGTCCGCAATATATCTTTCTCCAAATACCTAAAATTTGGCAATGGCCTTCTAACAGCATAGCCCCCTGGCTTTTCCTTTCTGAGATAAAAGGCTGCCTCTGTGTTCTGGTTGCCCTGAGGTGGTGGGTGAGTTTTATATTTACCCCTTTTGATGGGGGAAAGTCTACTGTAGCTTTCAGTCTGAGTTGAAAAGGATCTTCCATTTTGTAGAAATATGGACTGTGTTTAGCACCATTAAACATCCACTAACTATTCCAGTCCAAATTGGGTTGGCTAGAAGATGATCTAGAATACTTCCACTCATCACCAGAAAGCTTGACTAGCAAGTGTGGGAAGGTGGGCAAAGATGACCCGTGACTGGTAGTAGCACACCACCTTCTAAGATCCGGATTTCTTTATGATCACAGAACAAATAGATCTATGGCATATACTTCACAATCTATATAACCCATTTGATGCTCTTTTGACAATTGTAGTACTCTTTACAAAGATTTTTAAAATAATTTTTTAGATAAATTTTTGTATGTTCATTTATTTTTGAGAGACAGAAAGAGAATATGAGCAGAGAAGGCGCAGAGAGAGAGGGAGACAGAGTCTGAAGCAGGCTCCAGGCTCTGAGCTGTCAGCACAGAGTCCAATGTGGGGCTTGAACTCACAAACCGTGAGATCATGACCTGAGCCCAAGTCAGATGCTTCACCGACTGAGCCACCCAGGCACTCCCAAAAATATTTTATTTAATTTTAAGTAATCTCTACACCCAACGTGGGGCTTGAACTTACAACCCTGAGATCAAGAGTTGCATGTTCTACTAACTGAGCCAGCCAGGTGCCCCGTTATAGCACATCAAAAAAAAAGTTATAAAAATCACGTTTTCCCTCTGGTAAACTTAAGAGAACTCCAAGTTCATCCCATCCTACCCCAAATGCTGTGAGTATACTCTTTCTCATAAATCACTGACAAATAATTTGCATAATTGGCATAATGTAGCTTTTCTATCTTGTTGTCTATTCTGCCTCTGCATAAATATCTCCTTCCTTCATCCAGGGTTTGGCACTTAGTAGGCACTCAGTAAATATTTACTGATTAAATCTAGTAGAGAGACCACTCCTTTGGCCAGTTGCAGTGAAAACTAAACACCACAGAGCAGTCATGCCCTCCAAATAACAACCAACCACTACTGAAGAGTGAGAAGGTTCCTAAGGGTTAAATTCTGCCAAGACCTGGGCTGGGGGAGTATATTTAATAAGCCAGTGGGACTGGGCTCCAGTGTTCTCAAGCTTTTCTTAATCTCAGAATTTTTATGTTCTTTAC